ATTAATATAGCGCATATCCATGCTCAAGAGCTTGCTCTATGCGCTTTACAACTATTATTACCCCAGCAGACCATCTGAGAACACTCAGAAACATCATTGGCTTCCGCGGAAGCATACAGTGCAAGCTGCGGATTTCACGCGCTCAAACACTATGGAACAGACAAGATCGTTCACTGTCTATAGCCGGGTACCCATTACCACCTGGGTGAAGTGAGGAAAATTTATGCAAAGTGCCTTTCCCAAGGACACAACGTCAGGCCCCTGACGGGATTCGAACCCTCGACCTTACGGTTGCGAGTCCGAGAGCCTAACCACTAGGCCACCCACGCCACAGATGAATGAAGATTGTCATTGTCATTGTCAGTGTCATATATTCCCTCTTCAATCACCACCTTAAAAAAATCTTCTTCTTCCTTGTTAACCTCATCCTCTAGATCTAGAAATCTAGGACTGGCTGGCAAAAAAACCACTTACTCTACGTGTGAGGAAGCTGTAGACACAGGCTAGCCACTACGTTAACGTTCGTCATTTGTGATGTAGTAGTGATGTAGCGGAAATGTTGACGATGTGGACCTTTGGCTCTTACAAAGTGAACCCCTGTATGTACTGTACACAACTCTGTCCCCACGAAAACATCAATATAAGGAACAACACAACAAATGGAAAGACACCGCCCTGCCCCCACATTTCAATGTAAGCTTGTTGAGATTTCATCCTCCGGCTGTCTAGAATCTAGACGTCTCCAGGTGCTCCACGTGAGTCTCGAAAAATACTCACCCCTGAATCGTGTTTCTTTGGCGAACGTTTAAGTTAAAGTGTGGTGTTGTGAAAGATATGCCAACTTCTGAATGTTTTAGGTGTATGCTGCAAATCCCTTATGATTTTTTGACATGTTTTAGGCTTACATCAAAGGTAACGTACCTTAACCTTAGTTTGCTGTGACTTTTATGAATGGGCTTTTAGATTCTGTTGTTCGCTTAACTTTTAGAGCCGCATGCAAAGACACGGGAAGATTTAACAGAGCGATTTGTTTCTCTACCGTTATAACCGCGGTCAGACGAAAGTTTGTATTTTTTGGTTTTTGTAAAGTGTTTTACGGCGCTCGCAACTGCATAAGGTCATATGAGCGCGCGGGACACACCTAATATTTTCAGTGGTTAGGAAATTTTGAATTTTTCCCGGGTGGCGGCCGAAGCCTACTCTTATCGATTTTAGACCACCAAGGGATCTTTAACGTGCGCAACTTGCACACGGGCCCTCCGAGATTTTT